TTTTTTTGGTACCAGGGATTGAACTCAGGTCCTTGCGCTTGCGCAGCAGGCGGTGAAACCACTGAGCTAAATCTTCAGCCCTTCTTCCTAAATTTTTAAAGCAGTGTTTTCTATTTTGGTTCACTGAATTGTATTTTACCAGTATAGAAATTAGTGTATTTTTTTTATGTTTTTATGTGAAATAATGTTCTATGATAGAGCAATAATAAACCAAATACATAACTATGAAGTAGTACCGGTCACTTAGTAAGTTTTCTTCCTAAGTAAGTTTTTTACACTTTGTAGTAAGTTTTCTCTTGTTTTAACTGAAATGGATATTAATAGTTATTTATATATCCACTTCTCTTCTGTGAGTTTCTTGAAGGTAAGAATTGTGTTTTGTTTACCCTATCCTAAGCAGTTCATTGTATTTGACAAATAATCTTTAATTATTTCTCAGCATGATCTTATGTGGACCAAAATATGTTTTTGTGGAGGGTAAGCTTGGTCTTAACTTTGATTGTTCTTGAATGTCCGTGTTCCACATTTCTCACTTAGAAGGTGAGATGGCAAATGATGTGCATTTCTAATAAACCTGTTTGAGTCTACCATTGGAGATGAAAATTCCAGTTTATAATTGCTGTAGCTTGAGGCAGCTTTTGATTACTAAAAGGAATGCAGTTCTATTATACCTATTTTTAAAAGATTTTTCTGAAAAAGTTAGATGATAGAGTACAAACTTACCGTCATTTTCTCTCTTGGTAGGTAATGATGTTACAGTTTCATCTCTTTGTAACTGAAAACTGTTCTCATCAGGTATTATCATAGGTACTTTTTCCTATAAAAAAAGTTTGATTATAAACTTGGATCACAGACAATACTTCTCATATTCATAATTAGTGGCATTTCTTGTTTCCTCCATGGTTTTGTTTTGTTTTGTTTGGTTTGGTTTTTGGTACCATGGATCGAACTCAGGTCCTTGCACTTGTGAGGCAGGCAGCAAAACCACTGAGCTAAATCCCTGACCCTTAGTGGCGTTTCTTTTGTGGTTCATTAGGATTTTATACAAAGTTCTATTTCATCATACATTAAAGTACAATGTAAATATGTTTTTATTTTAGACTTTGAGCTTCTTGAATACAAGAACCAAGTCGTTTTAATTTTTAGATTTCCAGTGGCTAAACTCAGTGCTTGGTAAATGTTGAACATATTGAAATTCCCAATGGAAAGGAGCTGGGAGAGAATTTTCTGAATGAGAATGAGTTTTTCTGAAGTGGTTCTTGTCTGAACTTAATTCCTCTTATCAGATTCTGTCATTTTGACCCACACTAGAGCTCCAGCATGCCACATTGTGAAGGACTGAGTAAGCTCTTTCATTCTCTTCCAGGAGTGACCTTTTAATTTTGTACATGCCTCCCTGCCCTGGCCTTTGAGGCCTTTGTATTCTAGCCTCTTCTCCCATTCAGACCACTATTGTAGGCTAGTAACACTAGAAATGGAGGTCCTTATCATTAAGCCTCTCTCCTATTCTTAGAGAGTGTGTTTTCTGCCAGTAAACTACAGTGTATTACCTGAGGTTCTGTTCTTTCTACACTTTGTAAGCTTGCTCCATCTTATCTCAGTTATGGCTCCTGACCTAGTCCTTAGCCTTCATTTTTCATCTGTGTGCTTCCTGAACATCCTTCCAACACTCTGTCCCACTGAATTCTAATCCATCCCACAAATATTAGTCCACGCATTTATATTAAGATAGAGAAACTGCTGGAGCCTGTAAAAAAGAAGCAAAAGGAAGTCATCTCTAAGCCTTTTAGACCAGGGAATTTTGAAAGTATTCTTAAAATTATTTGATGTATTCAAATCATCCAAGTGAGCCAATAGTTTGTTATAATATGCTTCTTTTTTTTTTTTTTTTGAACTTGTGACTAGAGATACCTATTTTATTGGTCTTAATCATAGGGCAAAAATAATGCCACCGTGTTAACTAATTCTGTTGGAAGATACTGTAATGTTAACATTTACTCGTTGTATGCTAAAAGAAAAGCAGTTTTAATTATTCAATGAAAATCTTGCTATGTAATTTACAGAGAAGAACTTCTGAAGCAATCAATGTTATGTATTCGTCTACATTTCTTATTTTCCACTGTATGTGTGTATGACACATAGTGGGCAACAGAGTTTATAGGCTCTGTTAACTTTTTCCTTATCCAACATTTTTTCTATGTGCCAAGAAAACCACAAGTACTTACTTTGCCTATAAAGGAGGATGTGATTGATGTGGTACAAAAGTTATCCCTGCAGGGTGCTAACTCAATGACAGTTACAGATCCTTGGTACAAATTGATAGATTTAAAACCCCATATTAAGTAGTTTTTTATTTTTTGGTGCTGTGTATAATTAGCATCCCAAGTACTTTTTTGTTTATTTTATTTAACTATTTTTTCTAAAACAATAGACCTGATAATTCATCTTTAATTCTTCTAATTTATTTTTGAGGCAGTATAGTATGCAAATATAGGGCACTGTATAATTTTACTAAACATAAAAATTGCAATTAGGGATCGCCTTAAAGTCCAGTTTCCTTTAAATTTTGTTTTTGGTTACTGTAGTTACTGTTTGATTGACATAGGTATTTTTTTTTAATTTTTTTCCCATAAGTATTGTTTTTAATTTGGAAGGTATCCAAATATTAAAAGTATAGTCTTAGGAACAATTAAGAGTTAATCATTTAAAATGCTTTTCTTTTCCCCTCACCTTATCAAACATATTCATGAAAAAACAAAACAATGCATTTAAATGGATACTATTTTAGAAGATAAATTTAGAGTAGAAATAAAGTACCTTAATATTTTTTCCATCTTGGTATTTATCCTCATCGTCTTGGCTAAACATGGTTTCTTCAGAATTATCTGATCCATACTCAGAGATAACATGTGAGTCCTGTTGAGTTGATGGTACTGGCTGTGTCAGAGGCACCAACAGTAACAGTAGTAGGGTGGACCGCATAGTCTTCATTTCAGCAGAAATCAAGGTGACTGGAAGTTAATAAACTACTAGCCTGCTTATTGTGGAACAAAACTCTCTTATTCCTTGGAAGTAAAAATGCAGACCATCGAAGCAATACTTAAAAGCTTAGAGGATGTTTTTGGCAGGGTGTACGCAATAGGGGCCAGGGAAAAAGTATTTAACCCTTAGTGATCTTTAATTAGATACTAACAGATTTTGTGTATCAGTGAACACTATGAAAAATTCTTTCAGAAAGTTTAATTTGTCTAGCAAAAATCCAAGAAATAGTGATAATTTATGTTTCTTAGTAATTAGGTGCCCTGAATATGGGTATTCGTATGCAATTGAAATCTTCTTAGGATACCTACAATACAAATAGTTAAAGTGAAGACACAAGATCCTTTCTCATGTGAGTTTAAAATATCATATTTCAACTGCTGCTTTAAACAGCTCTTGATTTGTATTGGTATGAAAGAAGCAATTTCCAAGAAAAGTTTTAAAACTTAAACCTTAGATTTTACTTCTTGAAAAGTAGCCATTAACTTTTACTTTTAGTTGGTACATAATTTTGGAAAATCCATAAGTCTGTTCTTATTTTGTAAATTTAATAGTTTGTCACTATTTTAAGTTTATATTACTGCTTTTTTTAACTGAAAATTATAGCAACAGTATTGCAGACTAGGGTAAATTTAGAACTTTAATCAAGGAAATTTGGGGAATGTACTAGAGAAGCTTCTTTGAGGCTCATCAGTGCATCTTATCTCTGGGTGTACATTTCAGGCTTTTTCTTGGGTAGCTTCAAGCAGATTTGCTCAGAGCTGCTGATGCTGTATTGTAGATGCCAGTTTGTCAAAAATCCAAAGATTAAAATGGGTTTGTGAGTTTTGCAGCACCTAGTTCTTGTCCACATTGATATTAATACTATGCAATGATATGTGAAAAGTACTTTTTAAAAATTAATGATTCAAGGTAACTGAAACTTAAACATATTAGAGATGTCTTTTTCATTTAAGACTATAACATAGATCACACATTAACAAACAATACTTAAAATAATATATGAAAAGCAATCCTACCGTTGCAGCTGTTTTGAAGGTTTTTTTGGTTTTCTTCAATAGGTGTTCAAGGCTATGCACTAACCCCAAGTGGGAGGGTGAATGAGAAAAACTGGGGGTTGATTTCAGACTACTGAATAAAATTTCAAGGCCCAACAGCTTTAAGAGCAGTTTCCATGTGGTAAAGATCTTTGCCAACATTCCTTCTCTAGGGTGAAATGCAGGGTGTTGTACTAGAGAACTGTGCTGAAGACATTTGAAACTGTTGCCCTGGACTCCTTTGACTGATTACAAACCCGTGTTCTTTTTACCTTGTATAGCAAGCTCTTAGTGAATATTAGTTTATGAAAATGACGTACTTATAAAGTCATGCTTTTCATTTTGGTGCTTTTCCAAGAGATAAAACTTCTGGTGTTTGTTTTGTTCTTTGTTTTTTTTTAAATGAAATATGCCACCAATTAAAGCAAAGTCTATGCTCTTAATTTTATGAGAACTAAACCTTTTTTCTTAATTCTATAATTACTGTGTATAGCCAGAAATGTTCAATTTAAAAATTAGTTTTAGCACAGATTCGTAGCTTCATTCTGTAGTATTTTTGTTGCTTTTCTTTAAACTTACATATAACAAAAATTGAAGTATGAAAATTAGCTTTCTAAAAATAAATTTCATTTATAATTTTGAGGTTGATAGTAAAAAAAATACTTTTGCTTGCTGACCAAAAGGAACTGTATAAAACTATTCTAATATTAAATTTGATCTGAAAAGGTTAAAGTAGTATTATTGATATCCCATAAGCATCTTTAAAGAATTTTTTAAATTCACTTATTACTTTTTTGGTGTTTTGAGCAATCAAAGTAATGTTTCTTCTAAAAATTTAACAAATCTGGATAAATATTTTATTAAAATAAAACATGAAGGAATACTAATTTATTCTCTTTTCTAGTCAAAATTAATTTTAGAGCATATCAGATCAAAGTTTAGATAAACTAAGACTTGAATACATATGTTTTTATTTGAATGTGACTTATTTTAAATTTAGTTATGGTATTCTGTGATTTTGATTGAGAAAGATTGTTAATTTTGTGGCTTTAAGGTACAATAAAAGTTTGGCAAATTTTTTAGATTTATTTTTAACATAATAAAACTTTTAAGTCTTTGATATATGTACCAAAACAGCAGATACTGATTTGTTTTGTATTGTGTGACAGTTTAACAGGGTGTTGAAAATTAAGCTGGATGTTCAGATTTAGAGAACCATAGAGAATCATAACTTCATTAATGCTACAATTTTTTCATTTTTATTAGTACATGTTTATAATACATAATGATTGCATTCTTTGTGGGGAATTGGTACATGTACATAACTAATGATACAATTTGATACTCTGTACTGGTTTTGTTTGCCTGCCTGCTTCAGAATCTCCCCTAAAACCTGCATTTGGAGTCCAGCCAGATCTGGTGCCACACTTCAAGGGTTGGATAGGAAAGGGTCCACTTCTAAGCACGTGTGGTTGTTGACAGCATTTAGATCCTTACAGAATATGGGACTAAAACTTCACTGTTTTGGGGGTACTAAAGTCCTCAGTGTTGGCTGAAGGCCTTGCTCTTTTCAATGTAACTTCTTCCATAAGGCAGCTCACGATATGGCAGCTTGCTTCACAGCCAGAGGGAGATCATCTTCTGGCAAGATGGACACCACAGTCTTTCATGGCAGTCACATGCACATAATCACATGTATGCAAGAGTCTGGAAATATCCAGAATTATATTGCAAAATAAGCAAACTTGTATTCTGCCCAGAGTCAGCCAGGCTATAAAGCTGGAGGGCACAGTCCCCAGGACTATCCTTATTTCTGATACCAACTCCAAGTTCAAGTGTTTCCCCAAACTACATTTGATAACTCTCTAGAAAGATTCCAAGAATTCACTTAGAGCTTTGATACTCATGGTTATGATTTATACAGGGAAAGCATACACAGAAAAATCAGCCAAGTAGGAGATGCATAGGGCAGAGTCTAGATGGGTCCAACTGTGAAGGTTCTGTTCTCAGAATGTGTTATCCTCCTGGCACTGATGAGTATGACACAAAGCATTGCCAACCAGGAAAACTTGTCCAACCTTGGTATTCAGAGTTTTTATTGGCAGCTTCATTACATAGGCGTGACGATGGATTGGTTGCTTGTCCATGTGTTTGAACTCAGTTTCATTGTGAAGTGATACTGGAAACCCCCAAACCATGGTCCTAAATCATATGCTTGAGTTTTCTAAACTATTGGATATAGCTAGTGGCACCCCAAACAAAAACAGACCTATCTGGAATGACATAAATCACTTCCTAGGAGCCAAGGCAAAGCACAGACCTCTCTTTCTTCAAAGCCAAACTTTTTGTACACAATTCCCAATATAATATATTTGATATTGAAGTTGTTTTCTATTCTAGAAGGAAATGTTCGTGCAGGAATAAAAGATGAAAACCACAAAATACTCGAGAGACATTGTATCCAAAATGAAAGAATTTTCTCTATAGAGTTCTTTTAGGTGACCTTTTTAGGTGATCTTGTTGCATTATAGGGGCTTTTATTTTTTAAAAGATGTCCCATTTGTCTGTGGCTCTTCCTCCTGTTTCTCAGCAGTAAGCAACCAAAAAAATGTGTTGAATGGAACTCAGTTTTGGAAATAAGCATTTCCTGGGAATTTTAAGCCCCAATTCTTTATCTATTGGATTGGAATTTAGCATGTAGTTACTACAGAATAGTGAAGGTGAACCTTGTAGAGAGCGAGTGCCCAAACTGCAACCCAAACCCACTTACTTATACCAAAGTGCCAACACTAAAATTAACCTCAATACTGAGATTTCAGTTTAGAAAAAACAACTGTTATCCGATGCTCAGGTGGCTGAGGCAACTTGGCTTGCATGTGAACAGAAAGCGCTCTGCATGCCTGCTGAGGCACATGTAACGTAGTTTTGTTACCACTGCTATATAGTTTCTCAGCTTCCACACTTGACATTTTGGACCTGATAATTCTTTTTTTTTTTCTTTTTCTTTTTCTCCTTCAGACTTAGAGATCAGACTCAAGGTGTTGGGCATGCTAAACAGATTAAGCAGATGCTTTAACACCAAGCTATGCACTCAGGCCAGAATCTGAGAATTCTTTGTTGGGAGTTGAGGGGTCATCTCCTCTACCCTCTAGATATCAATAGCCGGAACTCCGGTTGTGAACACCAAAAAGTTCCAGACACTGCCAAATATCAGAAGTGGGGGGACAAGATGCCCTTGCTGAGTTATTATATACTTAGACTCTTTTAAATCTAACTTGCTAGGATTTTATGGTAAACTTATCATTTGACTCTCCATTTCAGAATTTAATGCTTATGCCTGAACGCGATCATCTGTTCAAGTGAAAAATGAGAACCTAAAGGGTAAATTTAAATGGAGGGAAATTATGACTCAATGTAAAGAGTTCATGATAAAAGTGTGCCATATTTGTGAATTTGGTTTTTGTTAGTAGTACATAAATCTCTGCACAATGAATTTACAACCTAAACATGTAAAGTGATGAAAGATGTGTTCATGATGTGGTATTTATCACTCAGCCAAGTCATAACAAAGCATAGTTAGTTTATAACTAGGCATAGTTATATTTATTGAGGAAATTGGAGAATGTAAAGAACATTGCATTTTTAGATATTATGATTTAATTTCATTTCCAGCTGTTCTTATAATTTATGTCCAGGATTTAGGGGAAAAATTGATTTTGGAATCAGGAAACCAGGGTTTTAGTTTGAGCCGTCCTTGTGGACATTTGATGTCCACACAACCACAACACCACCACAACAAAAAGTATATAGAAGAGACAGTATATTTCTTCTACTTGCTTTTTTCCCCCTGCCTGTAGAGTTGGCTAAGTGTTACATGATATGCATACATCTGTATTTTAGTTTAGTATTCCCAAAGTTGAGTGAACATAAAATTAAAATGTATGTATAGTGTTTCAGGTAATATTTAAACACAAGTCAAACATTCTCAGCCAGTATTACTTTGAGCAAATTTATGAAGCATCCTTCATATTTATTTCCTTTCTAAAAGCTAAATAAATGTTTGTTATGCATTTGTATTTATTAATCTTGGATTTATGGTATGATTTGGATTTTTGTTAATAGTCATAGTTGAGTTTACTAATATAACTGCCTACTTTGCAGTATAATGAGAATGAAAAAAATTATAGGTGGATTTTTATGTTTTTCTTTCCTGTTACAAATACTAAATTAACTGGTATAGTCTGTAGCTCTGCACAGGGAACTGCCATCTTGATATAGTAGTTGAAGAAACTATTCTTCAGTTTCTTCCAGGGAAAGCATTGAAGTTTTTGTTTATTTTATGTTTGAGAAATATTTGGGGTGGGTTTGAGTTCCCTAGCCCATTTTCAAATAATAAAAAATAGTTGCTAACCTGCATCCTAATTGTGCCTTGAGCTGGAGGGTGTTTCCTGATGTGTTTACTTATACACCTTTGGAGGGAGAAGCCAGAGCAGAGTTAAGATGTTCTTCCTAATAGAAGTTTGACTGCACTGTAAGGACAGAGGAGTGGACTTATGAGAGGTAGTAAGACATGGGAAAGATGCTACAGAAAGCCAGACCCTTCTGTAGTGACTTTATATTTGTTTGTTGTGGAGTATATGATTTAAGTTTCCTAATGAGATCCTTAGCAAAGCCTATGTTGTTCACTAATCTTTCATGAGTAGAGCTTTGGAAAGAACGAGTCCACTGTGTGTGCCCCTGGGAGAAGAAAGCCAGAGCATGGAGCCTATAGTGCACAGCACCAGCACCTATGGGCAGGCAGTGGGGTCAGACATGCTGAGTGGGAGTCATTGTTTTACTGGGTATCCGAAGCTGCCATGTACAGCACTCTCTTTCTAGCCTTGTAACAACTGTGTGAGATCCCAGGCTCCTAGGGCAGTGAAGCTCAGCTGGTCCCAGCACCCAGAAGGAAGCTCCCCGCCTCCATCCCAGGCTCCTAGGGCAGTGAAGCTCAGCTGGTCCCAGCACCCAGAAGGAAGCTCCC